TGAGCTGTGTGAAACCGCTGGGAGAGGTCATCAGGAGGTGTGGGCTGTGGAATCATCAATACGCTGATGATACCCAGCTTTACCTCTCATTTTCCACTAATGCAGGTGAGGCAGTGGCTGTGCTGAACCGGTGCTTGGCCGAGGTAAGGGAATGGATGAGGGCAAATAAACTGAAACTCAATCCAGACAAGACGGAGGTCCTGTTGGTTGGCGGATCGGGTTTCGGAGAAGGTGGATTTGACCTGGTCCTGAATGGTGCAACACTCCCTCTTAGGGATAAGGTCCGCAGCCTAGGAGTACTCCTCGACCCAGAGCTTTCTTTGGAAGCTCAGGTGACAGCGGTGGCGAGGAACGCCTTCCTTCAGCTTCGGCTGATTAATCAGCTGCGCCCCTACCTGGAGTACGACTGCCTGGCGACGGTGACACACGCGCTGGTGACTTCCCGCCTAGACTTCTGTAACGCGCTTTACGTGGGGCTTCCCCTGAAGACAGTCCGAACACTTCAATTGGTGCAAAATAGAGCTGCCAGGTTGCTGACAGGGACGGGGCGTTATGCTCACATGACTCCAGTCCTCCATCAGCTTCACTGGCTTCCCATTGAAGCCCGGGCCCAATTCAAGGTGTTGATTATGACCTATAAAGCCCTAAATGGCTTGGGTCCTGGCTACCTGAACGAGCGCTTACGTCTGTATATGCCCGACTGCCCTTTGAGATCTGCGGGAGAGTCCCTTCTCCGGGAACCCTCCATGAAAGAAATTAGGAGAGTAAGTACCCGGAGGAGGGCTTTCTCTGCGGTGGCACCCAACCTATGGAATTCACTCCCCAAAGAGGTCCGCCTGGCACCGTCGTTACTGGTTTTTCGGTGCCAGGTAAAGACCTTTTTATTTAAACATCATTTGAATTGTTAAAACATATGATCTAGCCAGGGCAACTTCTTCCTTCTCTTTCTCCTCCTATATTTTTATTTACTTAAGTTATACTGATAATTTTAATCTTATATTTGTAAACCAATGTATTTTTTGTATTTTGTATTTAATGGTAATTTATTATGTGCTATTGTATTTCATTGTATTTTCTCGAGTTGTAAGCCGCCCCGGGGTTTCGGCAAGGGGCGGCATAGAAATGTTATAATAATGATGATGATGATGATGATGATGATGATGATGATGATGATGATGAATGTGGTCCCTGCAGGTAAATAAACATCTCTCGGGTATTCAATCCAGTCTCTGGTCTCGTCTGTAAAATCACGGCACACAACATTTGGAGGCCCCAGCGAGATCCTGAGACTATAGGTCTTGCCTCCCCCCGACACCAGAGACAGGCCCATAGGCATTTTATGCCTCTACCCCGGTTCGGTGGGACGTCTGACTTGCTGAGAGAGGAGTAACCGGTAAGTGCGCACGGCGGTTACCCTCCATCTGTTCTGAATATCTGCAGATCTGGTATAGGAAAGAAAAGCCTGCTGGACGCAGCGTAAGGGCTACTTTCCGGTCTGGGGTGAGACGTCGCTTCCGGCTGCAGTTCCTGTTTGTGCGCTTGTTTAGATTGTCCGTCTTGCCGTTTGTCTTGTTGCTTTCTGTGTTTTCTGTCTTGTCTGTTTGTATTGTAAAGTGTTCCCCTTCCTGGGAGGTAAAAGCGTAGCCCAGAGCGGGTTTTGGGGTTCCTCAGGAAATAGAACCCCCCACGCAGCCACACCAATCTGTCCTCTTCAGGGCATGGTTGAAAGCAAGGGCGTGGATGGGTGTTCTTGCCCCTGAGAGTGTGTATTAACCAGGCTTTGTTGATCTGACACTTGAGTAATCTTTCTACAGGACCTGAAAATGGGGCAGGGCCAGTCTGTCCCGACCACCCCTTTGCAGTATCTTTTGAATAACTTTTCTGATTTCTTTAAGAGGGCTTCAGGATTCGGGGTCTCCGTTAAGCCAGGGACCCTCTGGACCCTTTGTGAATTAGAGTGGACCACTTTTGACGTGGGATGGCCCTCAGAGGGCTCTTTTGATTTAATCTTGATTAGGAATGTTGAGGCTGTTATCCTTGGGAGTCCCGGACACCCAGATCAGATTCCATACATAGAGACGTGGCTGGACATCGCCAAGACAAAACCTAGCTACATTAAATGGTGTCAACGGAAACTCCCAGGATCCTGGTGCGCGTCTCTCCTTATGGTTAAAAAGGGTGAAGAGACCCATGCCAGGTCACCCCTCACCCCATCCTCAAAGCCCCACATCCTCACGGATGATCAGACGGGGCCGGAGGACGCTCTGGACACATGGACTCGGCCGCCTCCTTCTGCCCCAAATTTCCAGGCTTCCGGGAGCCCGCCCCACACTTCCCCCAGTCCGTCCCGAACGCAGAGCGGACTTCCGTACAGCCCCCGTCCACCTGTTCCTCCGAAGTCCTCTGGCCCCGGGGGCAAGGGTGACAAACAGGTGTCGCCGTCCTCCCCCGATCCTGGCCCTGAGCCCTCCACTCCGTTGCCCCTCCGGGAGCTTGCCCCCGCGCAGGGGGTGGACCGTCCGTTTATGGTTTATGTCCCTTTTTCCACAAGTGATCTGTATAATTGGAAGCTACAAAATCCTCCTTTCTCTGAAAAACCACAAGGCTTGATCTTGTTGCTAGAGACAATTTTTCATACCCATCGCCCTACTTGGGATGACTGCCAGCAGCTCTTGCAAGTTCTCTTTACTTCCGAGGAGCGCGATCGGATTCACCTTGAGGCTCGGAAGCAGATTCTGGGCACAGGCGGCCAACCCACCACTGACCCGGTTATTCTGGAAATGAGTCTCCCAGCCCAACGACCCAACTGGGATCCAAATACGGTCGCTGGGGAGGGGGCGCTGATCAGGTACTGCCAATTTCTTCTGCAGGGTCTCCACGGAGCAGCTCGGAAACCCACCAATTTGTCTAAAGTGAGTGAGGTAGTTCAGAGCCCCCGGGAATCCCCTGCCGCCTTCTTGGAACGCCTACTTGAGGCATATAGGCAATACACACCTATAGACCCTCAGGCGCCCGAGAACGCCAGGGCAATTAACATAGCCTTTGTCACACAGTCGGCCCCAGATATTAGAAGGATGATTCAAAAGCTGGACGGTTTTGAAGGGAAGAATCTCAGTGAACTAGTCGAAATAGCTCAGAAGGTTTTTAATAATCATGAGGACCCTGAAGTTGCAGGCACAAAGAAATTAACCAAAGTCGTCCTAGCGACCATGCAGGAAACTAGCGACAGGAATCGAGGGGCTCCACAGAGGAAGGGGGGTCGCCCCCGCCTAGAAAAGGATCAATGCGCCTACTGCAAGGAGATGGGCCACTGGAAAAGCGAGTGTCCCCGTAAGAAGAAAGTGAACCCACAGGGAAACAGTCTCCTCACTCTTGAGGAAGACTGAAGGGGCCAGGACTCTGTCAATTTGGGCCCCCAAGAGCCCTTGGTAACCTTAACTGTGGGGGGCCGCCCGACTACCTTCCTGGTAGGCACTGGGGCATCCCACCTGGTTCTCCAGGAGGGGGTCGGCCGTCTTACTGAAGAAAAGACTCAGATCATAGGGGCAACGGGGCAACCCAGGGCGTACCCCTGGACTTCAGCTCGTGTGACTGATCTGGGAAAAGGGACTATAACTCATTCCTTCTTGGTAATCCCCGAATGTCCCTTCCCCCTCCTGGGACGGGACCTCCTAAGAAAATTGCGAGCCTCAGTGTCCTTCCAAGAGGACGGCACCCACCTCAGCCTGGGCTCTCCGCAGCCTGCTGCCCTTCTGCTTACGGTACCCTTGCAAGACGAGTATCTCTTCTTCGAAAGTCAGGTGCCAGAAAGCCCCTCTGAAGCTTTAAAAGAGCTCCAAAAAGAGATTCTAGGAGTATGGGCCGAAAACAACCCTTCGGGGCTGGCGACTCATCAGCCACCTGTCGTAGTACAAGTTAACAGTTCGGCCACCCCGTTTCGGAAGCCCCAATACCCCATTCCAGCCAGGGCAAAGTCAGGAATACGTAAACATATACAGAGACTGTCGGAAGCAGGAATTTTAGTACCCTGCAGGTCGCCATGGAACACCCCGCTGTTACCCCTCAAAAAGGCCGGTACCGAAGACTACCGGCCAGTTCAGGAGGTAAACGCCCGAGTGAGATAAACGCCCGAGTAGAGACTGTCCACCCAACGGTGCCAAACCCTTACACACTACTCAGCCAGCTGCCACCAGACCGGGAGTGGTACTTGGTCTTGGATTTAAAAGACGCTTTCTTTTGTATACCGCTGGCTCCGGTGAGCCAGCCCCTTTTCGCCTTTGAATGGATGGACCCGGACCAGGGCTTCTCGGGTCAACTTATGTGGACCCAGCTGCCGCAGGGGTTCAAGAATTCCCCTACTCTCTTTGATGAAGCGCTGAGTAGAGACCTTTTCCCTTTCCGGGAAACCCACCCCGAGGTTACCCTTTTGCAATATGTGGATGACTTGCTCTTGGCGGCTGAGTCCGCACCTGCGTGCCTGCAGGCAACCCGAGACCTCCTGGCCGCTCTGGGCTCTATGGGTTATCGAGTTTCGATAAAGAAGGCACAGATCTGTAGTCAGAGGGTGACCTATTTGGGATACAATCTAAGCGGGGGAAAATGGACATTGTCAGCCAGCCGAGTCCGAGCAATCCAGAATATTCCCACGCCTACGACTAAATGACAAGTCAGAGAATTCTTGGGCACGGTAGGGTACTGCCGGCTGTGGATCCCCGGCTTTGCCGAGATAGCGAAATCCCTCTATACTAGCACGTGAGGAAAAGGGGACTCCCTTATGTGGACTGAGGTTGAGCAATCAGCATTCCAGGCTCTTAAAAAAGGCTATTACCACGGCCCCTTCTCTAGCCCTACCCGACCTTAAGAAACCCTTCCAACTCTTCGTGGCCGAGGCTCGAGGTATAGCAAAAGGAGTTTTAACCCAGACTTTGGGACCATGGAGGCGGCCAGTTGCATATTTGTCGAAACGACTAGACCCAGGGGCGGTGGGGTGGCCCACTTGCATGAGAGCAATCGCTGCAACAGTGATCCTGGTGAAAGAGGCTAAGAAACTGACCCTGGGCCAGGGCCTCCAAGTCATTGGGGCGCACGCCATGGAAACCCTCCTCCGCAGTCCTCCGGATTGGTGGATCTCCAACGCCCGAGTGACTCAGTACCAGGTACTTTTATTAGACCCCCCGCGGGTCACCTTTTCCAAAACAGCGGTCCTTAACCCAGCGACCCTACTGCCAGACGATCAACACGAGAGTCCTACACATGATTGTGCTGAAGTCCTCGACTCCCTGACCGGCACCAGACCAGATCTGACGGACGTTCCGCTAGGACAGCCAGCCCTCAATTTGTTTACAGACAGGAGCAGTTTCGTAAAGGACGGGATTCAATATGCGGGAGCAGCGGTGGTCACCAGTTTGGAGGTAATATGGGCACAGGCTCTGGGGCATGGCATGTCAGCACAAAAGGCAGAACTTGTCACCTTGACACAGGCCCTCCGGTGGGGGAAGGGAAAAGCTCTCAACATTTATATGGACAGCTGATACGCCTTCGCCACGGCTCATGTCCATGGAGCACTATATCGGGAGCGAGGGCTGCTAACTTCTGGAGGGAAGGACATTAAAAATGCAAATGAAATTATGTCCCTCCTAGATGCCCTCTGGCTACCTGAATGAATAGCTATAATTCATTGCCCTGGGCATCAACGGGATGGCTCGGCGGTCTCGCAGGGAAATAACTTCGCAGATAGAACCGCAAAGGAGGCTGCCTTGAGACCAGGAGGGGCTCTCGAAATTCTCTCGGTTCAGATGCCGTCACGGGCTCTCCCGGACTGACCAACCTACTTGCAGGAAGATATCGAGCTGGGCAGGAAGTTGCAGTGCTCGGAGACTGAGGCAGGATGGTTGAAACATCCCGATGGAAGGATCTTCCTCCCCCAAGCATTGGGGTGGGATCTTCTTCTCCAGACCCATCGAGCCACACATTTGGGAACGGCCCAACTCTGTCAGCTATTCAGACCCCGTTTCTACCTGCCCGGACTATCGACTCTGGCCGATTCCATAACCTCCGGGTGCGCCTCCTGTGCAAGAGTTAACGCTGGCCCTAGCCGGCCCTCCACCACCCCGGGCGTTCACCATCGCAGATCCCAGCCGGGAGAGCACTGGGAAATAGACTTTACTGAGGTAAAACCTACCCGAGGTAGGTATCGCTATTTACTGGTCTTCATCGACACCCATTCTGGGTGGGTCGAAGCATTCCCTACGAAGGGGGAGACAGCCTTGATTGTTGCCCGGACTCTCTTGCATCAAATTTTACCCAGATTTGGTGTACCCCTAGCTCTGGGTTCAGATAATGGTCCGGCGTTCATCGCCCAAACTTCCAAAATGGTAGCCAAGTCTCTAGGAATTGATTGGAAGCTGCATTGTGTGTATAGACTGCAGAGCTCAGGACAGGTAGAGAGGATGAACAGAACGTTAAAGGAAACCTTAACAAAATACACCCTTGAAGTTGGCGGCCCCTGGACAGACCTCCTCCCATTTGCCCTCCTACGCATGCGATGTTCCCCGTATAGGAATGGTTTCACCCCCTTCAAAATTGTCTTTGGGCGACCGCCTCCTCTGCTCCCTCGCCTGGCAGAGGAGAAGTGCGCTGAGTTGTCTAACCACAACTTGCTTGAGTCCTTGCAGGCCCTCGATCGCGTCCGACACGATATTCGCTGAAAGGTTCAGTCTAACATGGGCGGGACTACCGAGGCTCCGGACCCCGCAGTCGACCCTCCCCCGCGTGTAAACCCGGGAGATTGGGTCTGGCTAAAGAACTTTCACCCTGTTACACTAGGTGCCCGGTGGCTAGGACCCTTCCAGATGATCCTCTCCACTCCCACGGTGGTAAGACTGGCCAAGAAACCCCACTGGATCCACGTGACTCAGATAAAGCCTGCCTCGCCAGCCTCCTCGGAAAAATGGACAGTACACCAAACCGGAAACCCTCTGAGGGTCAAGTTAAAAAGGGTTTCTTCTGGGCAGCCTTCCTGATTCTTCTCGCCTGCCCAATAGGCTGCCCCCTGCCGAACCCACACCAGCCACTTACCATGGAATGGACATTGCGGACTGATTGGCAGGCCTCTCCACCAGTAGCAACCGTCATGACTCACACCCAGAATGCCACCCCGGACTTCCGCATAGGTCTCTGCCAACTCTTTCTGTCCAGGTGGACCAACCCGGGCCTCTTTTCAGTGGACACACTGGGGGGGGGGGGAATGCCTGGTCTGGGGTTATGGGTACAGAACTGATACATTAGCAAAGAAACTGTCACAGGAGCAATATTACGGCTGTCCATCAGGAGCCCCGCGTGCGGTGGCGCGCCCAACTTCTACTGCGCCCGATGGGGTTGTGAGACTTTTGCTACCTGGTTGGAAGGCCAAGATAAGGATCCTTGGCTCGCGGTAAAAAGGATGCAGGCCGGCCGTGCGAGGACCGGCAAAAGTAACCCCCTGAGCCTCAAGGTCAAGCGAGGCAGGGAAGATTCTTGGATAAAAGGTAAAACCTGGGGGCTGTGCTTGAATCTGTATGGTCCTGATCCGGGCATACTTTTCACGGTTCAGAAACGGGTTATCTCACGACCCTGGGGCCCGGTGGGACCTAACCGGGCTCTCCCTCCCTCAGACCCCCACTCTCCACATCCCTGACGTTCACACACAGCATGCTCCGGTCCGAGCTGCCAGCCGACCCTCATCCAGCCGCTCATTTACATTAGTGTCCACAGTTTTTGAAGTCCTCAATGGGACCAACCCAAACATTACCGAGACCTGTTGGTTATGCCTGAGTCCTCAGCCACCTTTTTACATGGGAGTAGGAGTAAATGTGTCCTTTTCTGTCCTTGCTAAGATCTCCTCCTCGGAAAATTATGGGAGCGCTTGCCCATGGGGGCTCCACCCCTCTATAACATTAGAGGAGTTCTCAGGTCAAGAGGCCTGTGTCACGGGTCCTGATGGGCCCCACGATGATCCACGATGTGCTGCTACCTTACTCCTTACCCCCACAGCAAGCCCCTACCTCCTAGCAGCCCCGAATGGGACTCTTTTCGCTTGCCGATCTGGCCTTACCCCGTGCATTTCCTCCACCCTTTTCCAAAAACCCTCCGGTCCTGAGGCTACACAAACTCCTCAGTCGGATATTTGTATTCTTACTCTCGTGCTTCTGAAGGTTTTTCTCACCGACGGAGACATGACTCCCGTGGCTGCTTCCCTGAGTTCGCGCGTCCAGCACGCTGGGCCCCTCCTTGCTCCTCTTTTAGCTGGGCTGGGCATCGCAGGCTCAGCGGCTGTCAGGGTGGGAGCCTTGATAAAAGGCAGCCAAGATATATTCCACCTCTCTGCACAAGTTGATAAAGACTTGCAGGAGCTTCATGGCTCCATCAAGTTCTTGGAACGATCCCTTGACTCCCTCGCTGAGGTGGCCCTCCAAAACAGGAGAGGACTAGATTTACTTTTGTTGAAACAAGGCGGCTTATCTGCTGCCTTGGAAGAAAAATGCTGCTTTTATGCAAATCATTCAGGTATCATCCGTAACAGTCTAGACCTAGTAAAAGCTCGCCTAAAGGACCGAGAAAGGCACCACCAGGGGGGTTCCAACTGGTATCAGCGCCTTTTTAACTGGTCCCCCTGGCTGACAAGCCTGCTCTCTTCCCTCGTTGGACCTCTTTTAGGGGTATTAGTTCTCCTTGTCTTCGGGCCCCTTCTGCTCAGTTGGGTCACCCGCCTTGTCCAGCAGCACATTAGCGCTGCAAAAGTACTGGCATTTCAAGTCAGATATCTGGGGCAGGGTGGTGGTTACAAGAGCCAACCGCCAGCGGCTCACTGTCTCGATGATTCGATTCCCCAAAAACACCAGTAGGGAATGTTGTAACCCCCCTCATAATCAACCACGCAGCCAGGGCATGGCTCGTCACAAGTAATAAGTAATAAGCATTGTTAGAGTGTCCTGTTCGCGTCCTGTTCGCGTGAGAACAAGGACACTAACACGGATGTGCACGCTACACAAGACTGAGAACAAAGCAGGCTACGCTCCAGTATTACCAGTATCACCGCAGACGTTATGCCCTTGTACCTTTGCTTGCTTGCTTTAGCATGATAAATGTGCAAATGAACTTTCTCCCATTGATCCCCTCGTGCTCCCCTATTGTCCGCTGTCATTCAAGCATAAGTGTAAAAGAGTATAAAAACACTGTTTTCCCCCTGCTCGAGACCGCATTCTAATGAATGTGGTTCCTGCAGGGAAATAAACATCTCTCGGGTATTCAAACCAGTCTCTGGTCTCGTCCATAAAATCGCGGCATACAACATGGGTGTCACCCTTTTTTCGGGGCAACTTTTCCCCACTGTCAGGGTTAGGTAATCGCAGCCGTGCAGGGTGTGGGCCGGGAAATCACGGCCTCCGGGCAGGCCTCCAACCGTCGGAACGTGGTCGGAACAGGCGAAAATGGAGGGCTGCGTGGAGGGACAGCGTCTCAAAGAGGACTAGGTGTGTCCGCGTCGCGGTCTTTTCTGGGCAACTTTTTCCCCGCTGTCAGGGTGGGGCCAGGAAATCGCAGCCTCCGGGCGGGCTTCCGAACGTCGGAACGCGCTCAGAATGGGCGGAAACGGATTCCTGCGAGGAGGGACAGCATCTCAAAGAGGACTAGGTGTGTCCGCGTTGCCCACTTTTGTGGCAACTTTTGCCACTCTGTCACGGTGGGGCTGGGAAATCGCAGCCTCCGGGTGGGCCTCCGAACGTCGGAACGTGCTCGGAACGGGCGGAAAAGGAGGTCTGCGCGGAAGGAAAGTGTCTCAAAGAGGACTAGGTGCACGCGCGTCGCCCTTTTTTCGGGGCAACTTTTAACCCTGTGTCAGGTTGGGAGTCGGGAAATCCCGGCCTCCGGGCAGGCCTCTGAACGTTGGAACGTGCTCGGAACGGGCAGAAATGGAGGCCTGCGCGGAAGGACAGCGTCTCCAAGAGGACTAGGTACGTGTGCATTGCCCTGTTTTCGGGGCAACATTTGCCCCCCTGTCAGGGTGGGGCCGGGAAATCGCGGCCTCCGAGCAGGGCTCCGACCGTCGGAACGTGCTCGGAACGGGCGGAAATGGAGGCCTGCGCGGAGGGACAGCGTCTCAAAGAGGACTAGGTGTGTCAGCGTGGCCCTCTTTTCGGAGCAACTTTTGCCCTTCTGTCAGGGTGGGGCCGGGAAATCGCGGCCCCCGGGCAGGCCTCCGACCGTCGGAATGTGCTCGAAACGGGCGGAAATGGAGGCCTGCGCGGAGGGACAGCATCTAAAAGAGGACTAGGTGTGTCCGCGTGGCCCTCTTTTCGGAGCAACTTTTGCCCTTCTGTCAGGGTGGGGCCGGGAAATCGCGGCCTCCGGGCAGGCCTCTGAATGTCAGAACGCTCTCGGAACATGCGGAAACGGAGTCCTGCGTGGAGGGACAGCGATTCCAAGAGGACAAGGGGCGTGAGCATCACCCTCTTTTCGGGGCAACGTTTGCCCCTCTGTCAGGCTGGGGCCGGGAAATGGCAAACTCTGGGCAGGCCTATGAACGTCGGAACGCGCTCGGAACGGGCGGAAACGGAGACCTGCGCGGAGGGACATCGTCTCCAAGAGGACTAGGTGCGCGTGCATCGCCCTGTTTTCAGGGCAACTTTTGCCCCTTTTGCAGGGTGGGGCTGGGAAATTGCGGCCTCTGGGCGGGCCTCCGACCCTCGGAACGTGCTCGGAACGGACGGAAATGGAGTCCTTCGCGGAAAGACAGCGTCTCCAAGAGGACTATCTGTGCGTGCGTCGCCGTGTTTTTGGGGCAACTTTTGCCCCTCTGTCAGGGTGGGGACGGGATATCCCGGCCTCTGGGCGGGCCTCCGACCGTTGGAACGTGCTTGGAATGGGCGGAAACGGAGGCCTGCGCGGAGGGACAGCGTCTCCAAGAAGACTAGGTGTGTCCGTGTGGCCCTCTTTTCTGGGCAACTTTTGCCCCTTTGTCAGTTTGAGGCTGGGTAATCGCGGCCCCTGGGCGGGCCTCAGACCGTCGGAACGCGCTCGGAATGGGGGGAAATGGAGTCCTGCGTGGAGGGACAGCGTCTCCAAGAGGACTAGGTGCGCGCACGTCACCCTGTTTTCAGGGCAACTTTTGCCCCTCTTGCAGGGTGGGGCTGGGAAATCCCGGTCTCCGGGCGGACCTGCGACAGTCGGAACGCGCTCGGAACGGGCGGAAATGGAGGCCTGCGAGGAAGGACAGCGTCTCAAAGAGGACTAGGGGTGTCCGCGTGGCCCTCTTTCGGGGCAACTTTTGCCCCTCTGGCAGGGTGCGGCCGGAAAATCAAGGCCTCAGGGTGGGCCTCTGACTGTCGGAACGCGCTCGGAACGGGCGGAAACGGAGGCCTGCTCGAAGGGACAGAGTCTAAACGAGGACTAGGTGTGTCCGCGTTGCCCTCTATTCGGGCCAACTTTTGCCCCTCTGTCAGTGTGGGGCCAGGAAATCGCGGCCTCCGGGCAGGCCTCCGACCATCAGAACGCGCTTGGAATGGGCGGATATGGAGGCCTGCGCGGGGGACAGCGTCTCAAAGAGGACTAGGTTTGTCCACGTGGCCCTCTTTCTGGGGAAACTTTTGCCCTCTGTCAGGGTGGAGCCGGGAAATCCCAGCCTCCGGGTGGGCGTCTGAATGTCGGAATGCGCTCGGAACATGCGGAAACGGAGGCCTGTGCGTAGGGACAGCGATTCCAAGAGGACTAGGGGCGCGTGTGTCACCCTCTTTTCGGGGCAACTTTTGCCCCTCTGTCAGGGTGGGGCCGGGAAATTGTAGCCTCTGGGCGGGCATCTGAAAGCCGGAACGCGCTCGGAACGGGCGGAAATGGAGTCCTGTGCGGAAGGACAGCGTCTCCAAGAGGACTAGGTGCGCGCGCGTGGCCCTGATTTCAGGGCAACTTTTGCCCTCTTGCAGGGTGGGGCTGGGAAATCCCGGTCTCCGGGCGGGCCTGCGACAGTCGGAACGTGCTCAGAACGGGCGGAAAGGGAGGTCTGCAAAGAGGGACAGCATCTCAAAGAGGACTAGGTGTGTCCGCGTGGCCCTCTTTTCAGAGCAACTTAT